AAACACCAGATCACCATTGATCCTTAATAGTCTGCATATCAACTAATGAGTAATTTCTTATGATATGCATGTGCATCGAAATTGGTTCTCTGAACTTTACTAAAAAATTCTATATGCTAGTGTGTTGGACTTAATTAGGAAGAAGCTGCCCTTAATAAAAGATTTTTGTATTCTGTGTTTTGGTCTTTTCAAATATACATCTTTACTAAAATTTTCTATATGCCGGGGTGTTGGACTTAATTAGGAAGAACATGCCCTTAATAAAACATTGTTGGTCTGATTTAGTTTTATAATTTATTTATCGGGCTGGGTTGCTATTAATATTATCAAAACACTATTATTATATGTAGTATCTGTAATGTATGTAATTAAAATTATGTTATAATATTCTTGTTATACCACTGAAATCATAAATGCATATTTAACTAATTTTCCATTACAAATTTCCAAAATTATTTTGAAAATATTGAACTACCTTTGTTAGTCAGGTCTTCAACGCTTCTTTTAGGGTTGATTATTGTGCTTTTGGTGATCCTCTTCATTGAAGAACTGTTTTGAAACCAAAACGACATGGTGTTAATACAGCTTTTGGAAGACTGGAATACTTTTTATTTATACTAAGACGTTTATTTCATATTGTCGCTTTCATAAACAAATTTTCAAACCGGTTCAATTTGGTATTTCTGGTTTTCATTGCCCATCCCATAGGACTGTCAGATGCCCTGCCAGCCACCAAAGTGGCCTTCGGAACTGCGTGGTCTGGCAGTCCGTTGGCCTGATAAGTTGAAACACCAGATCACCATTGATCCTTAATAGTCTGCATCTCAACTAATGAGTAATTTCTTATGATATGCATTTGCATCGAAATTGGTTTTCTGAACTTTTCTATACACTAAAACATCTGTCAAATGCATAAATTAAAACATTCTTCAGCTGTTGCACAACTGAAACACTGAAACTTCAAAACTGCATATGCATACAACATTAAACATTGGATTTCATAAAGCATGACATGGTCTGCATAAAGCATACCATGGATTACATAGACACATCCCTTTAGGAATATAACATGGCATGAACATACTATCCACCCAATCAACAAAATTCTAATCTGTTTTGCCCTCTTATATATCCAGCAAAAACATAAGCATATTTCATTCATTGAAATGCATTACTAAGTTCATTCCAATTGGCTTTAACATATCCAGCAAAAACATATGCATATTTTAATCATATAAATGCATTACTAAGGTCATTCCTAGTTAAGCCAACTAAAATTCATCCCCACACAAAGTTTTTCATTGAAGTACTTCTGATTAAGTGTGACTGTCCGCACTGATCTTCTAGGTATCATTGGTCTTGCATCTAACCATTCTTGACAATCTTTGCATAAGTATTTGCCAGTACCCCTATTTTTGTTTACTGGCCTCATGCAGTAAAAGTGACTTAAATTCCCATTACACAAAGAGCATGGTTGCAACCAAGAGAGTCCAGGATAGTGTCCACATGTATGACATTTTGGTTGAGAACATTTGTTGCATGAACAGCTTCTCATCTTTCATTACAAAGAAAAAAAATACAATTATTTTTTACAAATAAAAGGATTTTAAGTGTTGTAATCAGTTTAAATGCATTTGGTATTAGTGTTCATTGCATAGTTTCATATAGCATTATCAATAATGAGTTATGAAACATACCTTTTCTTCACACTCAATTGCACTGGTCGTAGATATTCTTGAGCCTTTCTCACAGTTTCAATTGTTAGAATTTTTGGTTGAGCTCATAAATGAGCTTCTGGGCATGGAGTAAATGCATTGGAAGTTATATATCCACTCACTTTACAATATTCGTAAGTTACCTTTCTGGAATATTTTATAATATTTATTGTACATCTTCATTTAATTCCAGCAGACCTACATTCCATCCTAGAATTAATACACTGTGTTGTATTAATATTTTTGAGTAGTGATACTCAAGTGCTTTACAATAATGACTGCCCCTTGTACTTGATGAACGGGCATTGTACTTGATGAACGGTTTTGCATTTAATGTTGCAAGGGGTAAAAATACCCACTCAATCTTTACATTGAGATTATGTAGTACATTGCATTTATTGTTTGTGAGGCTCAAGAAATGTTTGTGTGGCTCCAGTTCAGAACTATCATGAGCTTCTGGGCATGGAGTAAATGCATTCGAAGTTACATATCCACTCACTTTACAATATTGGTAAGTTACCTTTCTGGAATATTTTATAATATTTGTTGTACATCTTCATTTAATTCCAGCAGACCTACATTCCATCCTAGAATTAATACACTGTGTTGTATTAATATTTTTGAGTAGTGATACTCAAGTGCTTTACAATAATGACTGCCCCTTCACTGTTTCGAACCCTACTAACCATTGTACTTAATGAACGGTTTTGTTCATATGTCATGATTACCTTTAAGCACAGCCCTAAATTTTAAAAATGTGCAGATTTAATTATTTTGTTATCTATGAATATTTTCTAATAGTTTTTTAGTGTTCGCGTTTAATTTTTTTTTCAAAATTTATTTTGAAATTTTTAGGGATACACTTCCAAAAATAATTGTTACGTATTTGAAATTATTTTATTTTTTTAATATATTTTGTACTTTATTTATTTAGTAAAAATAATGTGTTTTTAAAATATAGTTTTAAATTTGTGCTCTCTTGAGCCACACAATCTCCAACATTGGAACTTGTTGCCTGCATTAATTGCCCGCAGCTTTCAAGTACACAGCTATCTTGGGTGGTTTTGATCTTGATTATGCTAAATACTCTATAAACTTTTACATCAAATAAATTAAAACCAACTTGTTGTATGAATATTTTATAATAATTTTTTGATATTCGCGTTATAATTTATTTTTCTAAAATTTATTTTCAAATTTTTTGAATACCTTTCCAAAAATAATTTCCGATTATTTGAAAACAATTTAATGTTTTTTATATATTTTGTCCCTTATTTTTTAAGTAAAAATATATAACCTAGCTCCCAAGAAATAATGTGTTTTTAAAGTACAAAGTTTTAAATCTATTATACTATTCATTAATGCTCTCTTGACTTTTACAATAAATATCTTGAGCCACACAATCTCCAACATTGGAAGTTGGTACCTTCATTAGTACATAGGGAACTTGGGCAGGTTTGGATCTTGATTCTGCTAAATACTCTTTATAAACTTTTACAATAAATATCTTTTATTATTCTGCTAAATCCATTTGCACTTCGTGCATAAATATATTTTTATTACTTTTCAGTATTCCTTTGGATATGTATTGATTCAATTTAATTTAATTTATTTATTTCAAGGGTAAGGCCTTTTTAAAACTCACGTATTTGAAACCCAAAATACTTGGGATACATATATGGCCGAAATAGACATGCCCAAAATGCTAAGTGGAATCATGTACTTCTCATATCTTTTTATCCATACTAAATATATCTTTCCATACCATTCAGAAACAAACATCCCTTTCACATGTTGGTTAAATTTCTATTATATTCAAGCTTTTGACATCTTTACAAATATTTACTTGTCACTTGACATCATTCCATACTAAATATATTTACTTAGACATGGTTCTATTTTTGAAGAATTTCAAAATACAAACACTTCAATGACATTTTGGGCAGATATTATTACCACATTTTTATTCCCAAAAAATGGACTTAATTTCAGATTTCTATTTTCCAATTTTGTCAAAGATACCACAACTCCCAAGTGTATTGATTTATAATAATAACTCTTAGCAATGGCTAACCAAGTTTTTATTTTTGAATAACAATTTCGAATAAGCTTTAATACCTAAAATTTACTTCATGTTTGATATTGCAACTTTATGTACTAAAATATTTCAAAATTTTACTTTCTAACAGACATTTTTTTAAACTTATTTGTACTTTTATCCAAGAGTGTGTTCATAGTAATAATAACTCTTTTAATACGTTTTGACAGGTGTAATTTTCTGGTTGAACAGGTTTAAAAACGCTATCTAGAAAATTGTAATAGGAATAGTTCTGGGACCTTAGAAGGTTGCCATTTATGTAAAATTTAAAAGGTTTGTAATATTATTTAGTAAATAGGGATTGCAGGTAACCCTCCATTCTGCAAAAGACTAAGGTATGAACTTCTTTACCTCACTTGGTTATTTAAAATTATGCAAGTTGTTGAATCAAATTGCCAATTGTCAAATTGCAACCAAAGAATATTGCATAGATTTTTAAATGTAATACACTTGTATTAGAATTTCCAATCCAAATGTTACACTTTTGAAATCATAAGAGTACACATTTACTTGTTTACGTAATGCCTCTTAGAGTTTACACATTTACATGTTTCATAGTAAATCTAGCAGTTAAGCCATTATTCACACCATCCCATGCCACGTCTAGCAGTTAAGCCATTATTCACACCATCCCATGCTCTCGTCTAGCAGTTAAGCCATTCTTCACACCATTGGTAGCATTTTTCTTAACCCAAAACTTTTTCATCATCCTGGAAACCATTAGTAAAGCCTTAGTTTGAAAACAAAGGTCTGTTTATAAAATACAAAGATATTAGGAGCATAAACTTCACCAAATGGTTTAGGAATATCCCTTCTCTGAAATCCTGCAAAACTGCCCAATATAGATACAAAACATCCTAAACATAGTTAAAACATAATAGCACACCACACAATCGTTTATTCACACCATCCCATGCTCTCGTCTACCAGTTAAGCCATTCTTCACACCATTGGTAGCATTTTTCTTAACCCAAAACTTTTTCATCATCCTGGAAACCATTAGTAAAGCGTTAGTGTGAAAAGAAAGGCCTGTTTATAAAATACAAAGATATTAGGAGCATAAACTTCCCTAAATGGTTTAGGAATATCCCTTCTCTGAAATCCTGCAAAACTGCCCAATATAGATACAAAACATCCTAAACATAGTCAAAACATAATAGCACACCACACAATAGTCATAAAGTAGGGTTTAATGGTCTGTTACACAGTTTTCAGTTATCCCAAAAAGAGAAGGCATACGTCCTGTGCATGAAACTGTTTTCAAATAACAATAAACACAATAGTAGGTGCCAACAAAATATCATCAATGTTATTCATGAACTGAACCCGCTCTAGAGCGGTTCCTGTTTGATTTTGATCTTCAGCTTCTTGCCATTCCCAGTGCTTGAAAATTCATCATTCAAGTTTCTTTTGACCTCTTCATTTAATTCAACATTGACCTCCCTTTGGGTACATTCCGTAGGTGTGTCGGGAAGCTCAATTGGTGCAGAAACCTAGCAGTAATATAGCTGTTTAGTGAACCCTCTACAGAATTTTGAATGAAAATATTATATACCTCTTAACAGTCGATCGCTTACCTCCTTTTCTGCCGAAATTCGTTTCCCCTTGCCCTTACTGACAGTTGATTTTTCTCTGATGGAGGTTTCTGCTAAATTTGCATTTGAACCAATCTGCAAAAAAATGATTTTAAGTTAGTTGTCATCTTTATTTATTCAAGGCCCAAATACACAAATTAATAATTTTTCTAAATACCTTTTCTGGTGTACTCTCATCAATTTCATTAGTTTCCAAGTGCTCTTTCTTCTCATACATTGAGATAACATTAGGATCTCTTATGATGCTGACTACCCCTAGAGAAATCCCATCATTATAGGCATTTTCCTCACCTTTCTTCTTCCTTAGCTGTATTTTGAAAATTCCCTTTATATCAACCAAGTTTTCAATGTCTTCCGGAAAGCGACTTGGATCCCCGGTTTTCTGTGTTTTCCAAGTTATGTGGTTAGCCCATCCATAATTGATTGAAGGTCTGATAAAGTAAACACTGCTAACGGGTTATTGTGTTACCTTCTCCACCTCGGCTTTAAGACTTGCTGAAGTTTTACCCAGAATTTCTATGCATTCCCTGTCCCATAACATGAAGTTTCCATACCCTGTGTTGTCCATAATACACACACTGACCTTGTAGCTGAATCATCAGAGTAACAATTTTTATTACTAAAATAAAAACGTGAACATCCTACACCCATAAAAGCACATTAGGTTAAGTAATGAACCGATAAACTCCTTCTGCCATTGACATGCTGCAAGTTGTACACCTAAACCGTTCCTCTTCTGGTTGCAATTTTTTGTGGCATGTCGGGCAACTTAGATAGCACCATTCTCGATAGTTTTCTATAGAAACTATCTCAGCAAGTACCCAATAAACATTCTCCTATCCAAGTATAATTTTCTTATTAGCAGTGGATATATTTATTCAAAATGCGAAATCTATGACTCTAGCTTCAGGACACACCTCGGTTGCCTTCATCAAATCCTCCATGGTGGTAATGACAGCATTTCCACCGAGTATATCATCCCTCCCTTCCGCATGTGAGCATTGCGTGTTGCAGGTTTGAGTCGTGGTGTCATCACCATCTGCTGGAAACCTGTATATTGCATGGTAAACAGACTTTAGTTCTAGGATACTTGAGTTTTAGGAGATTTTTTTATGAAATTGGGTAGTCAGAGTTTAGTTTTAGGAGATTTAATACGCATACTCGCTTTGGAACTCTAAAAACTCAGTAGTGTTCCCGTTGATTATGAGCTTTGATACATCAAAAGACGAATTCATTGTCAAGATCCCTGTGTTTAAAACAGCACTACCATAAGCTTTGGCTACTGTGTACTACATAATGAGTGCTGCTAAGTTTCTCAAACCTTGGTATCTTTTTGGCCTACATAGTTGAAATATCACGAAGACAGGCACTCCTTCATTAGCATTAACATAATCCAGATACTGGTTTATGTACTTGTTCCACAATACGGCGCCCAATCTGTTACCCCTGTAGTTTAGAAAAGTTTCAGTCAATGAGCATGTGTCTTTTGTTTTGCTAAAATCGTTTAAGTTGTAAAACTTACTCCGGGTCTGTCAAAGTCAACTCCATTAGCCTATCAGTCCTCCCGTTGATTATGTGGGTCTGGATAAGGCTCTTGGACAGAACCTTCCCAATGACATCTTCATAATTAAACGATAGAAACTGTAATTAGGATATTTGTGCAAGCAATGTAGTATGGAAAAATTTGACTCTAACTCACCAATTAGAGTTTTGTCGTTGATAACTCTTTGGGCATGCAGCATATCAAAAGGCTGAAAATCATAGACCATCATAGGCATTTCCGTCTTCGTATCTTCCCTCAACAGGGTTTTTGAGATGAACTGAATTATGTAGGGATGACTTGTAGTCTTCACTGTTTGGTAATTGTCAAGCACCAAAAAGTTTCTTATGGCATAAATTTTGTTCTCTGTAATATTAGGCTTATACATTGCTATCTGCGGCCTCTTGATAATGGCGTGAATCCGATCTCCCTAGTAAGAATTTTCATTGGATTAAGAAAAGTTGAGCAAAAGACGCCATAGAAGTTAGATGTTACAAACCATACCTCTGTGTCATGCAAAACCATTTCAAGAGTCTCCCCGCCCTTAGAGTGTGGAGGAACTTCGTATGCCCTAACTACCCGAACCTTAATTGCCCAGGTCGTCTTTGTGTGATCGATATCCTTGAGCAAGGACCACATCCCTTGTGCTGATGAAGCGGTTGCCATTGCACTGATTTTGAACTTTTGAACTTAAAAATACAGCTGCTGAATACTGGTCTGTGGTATGTTGTGGTCATCCCCTGCTTGGGTATTTATATTGGATAAAGGAGAGAATAACCTAGGTTGAAAATACCACACAATCTCAATATTAAGATTTGTAGTACAATGCATTAATTATAAGGTGAATCAATTGGGTTAACCAAGGGTTAAAAATACCCACTCAGTCTTTACATTGAGATTATGTAGTACATTGCATTTATTGTTTGTGAGGCTCAAGAAATGTTTGGGTGGCTCCAATTCAGAACTATCAAGTACAAATACCCACTCGATTTTTACATTGAGATTATGTAGTACATTGCATTTATTGTTGTGAGGCTCAAGAAATGTTTGTGTGGCTCCATTTATTGTTCAGAACTATCAAGTACAATGTATAAATTAATATTGTTATGCCAAGATTGTACAATGCATTAAATGTTTGTGTGGCTCAAGGTTTACTTTTAAGATTTGAAGTACAATTTACTTCATTTTTTAATCATCACATCAGATTTCACATTAAATGTTTGTGTGGCTCTGTACTATTTTAGTGGCAAGCATTAAAGAGCATCAATGGACCTGCCCAGGACCCGTTTGTGCACCCATAGTGACCCGACCCGACCCAACAGTGCACTGCATTTGGGCGGGAACACTGTTCATTTTTTCTTTTGGCTTTGTATAATAAAAGATAATATCCTTCAATTGAAATTCATTTACACTTTAATTGATGTTAAATCCAATCATCTAACATTGACATTTTCAGGTTTCGCCCATAAGTTCTAACCGTTTAACTAATTCAATAAAACACTAAAACACCGATAATTATCACATTTCGTCCATAAGTTCTAACATAAATGTACTACCTAATAATATATATGTAGTATTTTTCTTGCCTTTTGAAGTGCAACATTTGTAAGTATGTCAATTAAGAGTGATAGATTCTTTTTTCTATTTACAACACAGTGAGCCCACTTTTAATCTATCTTGTGACATTGTTGAACAAAGATAATTGTTTATCAACTTCAACTTTGAAGAATATCTTTCAACATTGATAATTGTCCCATAAAGTCATGTAAGCAACCCAAGTATGAGGAAAACAAATATACATATCTCTTATATACTCAACAACACTTCAACCACTTTTATTTTGCCTTAAGATAATGACTATTAACAACTTTAATTCTTAAATCAACTGAATTGAATCAATATTAAGTACCATCATGCCCGTGCTTTGGAAGAATTTCAAGGGTATAACAAGAACGTACCAACTCTTCATCACTATTGTCTTTAACTTACTTAGATTATACAAGAATCTAAAACTTTCAAGGGCAACAACATTTGTCGTCGCCGACTGAATACATTATAATTGACGATCTATCACTAGTTGATGTGACGATCAAGATCTAGATCAATGAAGAAGATGGTGGAGTTTTAGATATGGGTACTCATCGTGGATCAAAATTTAAGCGGCAACAATAGAGTCATCGTTGGTGAAGTCAAACAAACGCAGTCAAACTCTCATAATCATCGTCAGAGTCTCACTGTTGTCACCAGATTCTCAACTTAGTGGATGAGCGCTACCTCTAAATCAAACAAAATTGGATGTCAAGGTAGAGATAAGGTGCAAATGGGGTCGAGGGGAATGAAGGGCTCTATTTTAGATTTAAAGTAAGAGCGATTTAATCATTCCAATTAAAACATTTTTGTATATCCTTGACAAATTCTTTTTGTCATTCTTTTTATAAGATACTTCTCTACAACTTCTTCCTCTTTATCTTTAATTTTTTATTTTTATTTTTTATTTACTTATTTATTTATTTATTTATTTATTTATTTCGATTTGTGTGTGTCATCCTTGTGCAAGGTCATGCTAATCTTCTCTGTATCGTTCCAATTTTATCAGATGTCCCCGAGGGGGATGAGAAGTTCGTAGGTGTCTTCTGATTTATTTATTTATTTCAAATAAAAAGAAAATAGCTTTCAATCAACTATTTTCTTTAAAACTACAGCCAAGTCATCCGATCATTAGTGATGTTTTTAATGGCTTACCTACCCTTTAGTTTTTTTTTGTTACATTAGGAATAAAGAAACAACAAACACATAACTAAACATCAACATCCTGGAGCAGGGGCACAATTAAATTCGAAGGGGGGTGAACCCAAACACAGTAAGGGGTATTAGCACTCGAAGCTTGGCGAGCCAACCAATCGGCAGCATTATTTCTATCCCGCTGGATATGAGCAATCAGAACAGTCCCAAGTAATCATGTCACGCACCTTGCATATAATATCTCTTGCCCAAAAATATCTCACATCATCATCATTTTGAAGGATTTCCACGACATCATTGCAGTCCGAGAAACAAACAATATCACGATAACAGAGATCTCATCCATGTTGCAGACCAAGTTGAATAGCCAACAGCTCTGCCATAAAAGCCGATCCAACACCATGGCTCACAGAGACTTCGGAAATCGAAAGGTTTGAAGCGTCCTTAACTATTGCACCACATCCCATCCTCGAAACTCCTGGATTCCAGCTGCCATCCACAAAAATATGGATCGTGCTTGACGGATGTTGTTGACCCGGGACCGACTGTGACGATGAGCAAGGAAAGCTCTCCGACAAACGTTGCCAAGTGTTGACGTCCATCAAAATCTACCTCAAAACATAGTTCGTATGCCATGATCTTTCACTGAAAATATTGTTGTTCCTCCAACGCCAAGCCCACCACATTACAGACATCGCGAGGACTTGCTCCCTCTGAGAAATGATCTTTCTGAACGAAAGATAAAAAGGCTCGTGCAAAGATAATGAAGGAAGGATGGGTTCAAAGTGACGCCAAAGGTATTGAGAGTTTATGCAACCCCGAAAAACATGATCCATGTTTTCATACTTTGCACCACATCTGGAACAAGCCGCTGAGGAACATAGGTGGTTGTGGTGTCTTTTACTATTCGTCGGTAGAGCCTCCTTCGCAATTAACCAAAGGAAGAATCTAATTTTCTCCGGCACCCTACTCCTCCAAGTACATTTCCAGCAAGGGTGATGATTTGTCATGTGATACCCGGCTAACATCGCATATGCCGACTGTGTAGTATAGGAGTCGTTATTTGTCTCTCTCCATCGTACAATATCCTGGCCGACATGATTTAATGGAACCCGAACCTGGCAGATTTGGGATTTAGTCTGGGGTGACAGGGAGGTTGATAACCTGTGAAGACACCAAGCTCCATGTTGACACAAGTCTCATATTTTGAGCGAAGAATCTGAAATATGGACAAAGGGAACCTGATCACAGATTTTCCCAGTGCCAAGCTAATTGTCATACCAAAAGGATGATTCCCCATTACCTAATAAAGCCCCAAAGCCATGCACAATGTTATTCTTAGCTCTAATGATGCTCTTCCATATGTAGGATTCCCCTTGATTATAGTCACCTGCTAAAATAAAATTGTTATGCATATATTTTTCCGACAAAGCTTTACATTTTCCCATTGTCGTGAAGAAGATTATCCACCAACTTACCAAGCAATGCTACATTATTGAGCCGTGTGGTGTGCACACCCAGTCCCCCATCCATTTTAGAGCAGCTCGCCTCCCTCCATGAAACTAGGTTCCAGCCTCGAGAGTGGCCACCTTTAGCCCATATGCAACTCCGTATCCTCTTGTCGATGTAGTCACAAATAGACTCAGGAAGACATAGGGACTGCATAGCATAGACTGGAAGTGACGAAAGAACAGATTTAGCTAAACACAGTATGCCCGCTTTATTAAGCAATTTGTGTTTCCAAGAAGCCAACCTAGTATTTACTTTATCAATTATAAGGGTAAATTTATCCTTGGTGACTCTACCTTTTAGGAGGGGTAACCCGAGGTAGTTACCTAAATCGCTAGCCCTGGTAATGCCTATGATATCAGAAAGCTCTTGTTGAGTAAGACGATCAATATTATTAGAGCAATACATCCTTGATTTCTCTAAGTTTACTTTCATGCCAGACACCTCACAGAAAGCATTCAGGGTTTTTTCTATTAAATGCATTTGTGTTTTATTGGCTTTGCAAAATAGTAAAAAATCATCCGCAAAAAAGAGATGTGAAATGCCAATACCCTCTTTTGTAATTCTCACTTGCTGCCAAGAGCCCTCGTTCACTTGCCTTTGGATTCCGATGGAAAGACGTTCCATACAAAGAACAAAAAGATAAGGTGAGAGGGGTTCACCTTGACGAAGCCCTCTTCGTGGAGTGAAGGATGGGGGTTTGGAGCCATTCCAAAGGATAGAAATACTAGCATCTTGAACTCCCCACATGATCAAGCTCACTGTAGCGGGGGGGGGGGGGGGGGGGGGGACAAAGTCATATAGTGTTGAGCGCAAAAATGTCAACTAACCCTGTCATAAGCCTTTTCAAGATCGATCTTCAATGCCACCAGCCCCTCGCCTTTCCATGTGTATGAATTGTGTGCATTACCTCTTGGGCGAGAATAATGTTATCCTTTATGCCTCTGCCAGGGATGAAACTTGCCTGCAAAGGTCCCATGAGATCCACCAAGAGTGGTCGGAAGCTGTTCACCAACACTTTAGTTATCACTTTATATGCCACGTTGCAAAGGCTTATTGGTCTTAGATCCTTAAATCGGAGGGGGTCCTCCACTTTAGGAATAAGGACAATTAAAGTCTCAAGGATATTGGAATCAGCTTTTCCTGCACGAAAGGCCTCTGCAACCATATTGTTAAGATCATGACCCAAGATATGCCAATATTGCTTGAAGAAGAACGCTTGGGGGATGAGAAGTTCCCAGGTGTCTTCTGATTTATTTATTTATTTCAAATAAAAAGAAAATAGCTTTCAATCAACTATTTTCTTTAAAACTACAGCCAAGTCTTCATCCAATCAATCATTAGTGATGTTTTTAATGGCTTACCTACCCTTTAGTTTAAGGGAATTTGACTTGTATCCCATATTTCGGGTGATATTGGACTTTGTACATTTTCAAAAAACATAACTTTGCACCCTTTCGTAAAACATTTTGTGAAGAATGTTTTTTTGAATGGAATGCAAAGTCAAAGGATTTTTAAGGGAAATGGAAAGCAAGGTCAAAATTTTTTAAAATAGGGTGTAAAATCTAATATTACTCCAAAAGTGAGCTGCAAAGTCAAATTCCCCTTTAATTTATCAACTTTGTTTCATGTACACGTTAGTTGTACACCATTGTACACGTCGTGTATCCCTATGAATAATATATATATATATATATATATATATATATATATATATATATATATATATATATATATATCATACATTTTTAAATTAGTTCTTTTGTTTGATTCGCCCATCTTTATTTGCCCCTATTTCTAATTACTGTCAAGTTTGGAAATATGACAATAATTAGTCATATTTTGGAAATAAAAGCATGATAGTCCTGTTTTGAAATATACCGACGTTTTTAGTCCTATTTAAAGTAATTTTCCAAATGTAAATGAAGTGCTAATTAAGTTTGCAGTTTTGTAAAATTCTATCGTTCATTTATTTCTTGCTGCTAAAACCATTTAAAAAACATTCGTACGGGTGAAACGGTACATGTAAATGATGGTACAAAAAACATTTTAATTTTTCCATCTCTTCGTAAAGATTCATTTAGTGTTGGGCGGAAACATTTTTAGTCCACATAAAACAATAACAACAACAATCAAATCTTATTTTCAAAAGATTTTGAGGTCGTCTAAGATTATTCAGTGCATGATATTAGAGTCAATAGAAAAGAAAGATAAGAGAAATAAAAAAGACATGATCAAATAAAAAAGAATAAGATAAAGATTGTTAAGGTTAATCCAACACGAAATAGTAAATAAATGTATAAAAACTGTATCAATACCCTATCTTTATGTGGAAACCTAAAAGGGTGAAAACCACGAGACTTTTTGGACTAAAGTCCAAGTCACTGTCTTTTTATTAATACCCTCCTCACCATTTTAGTACAAGTATATATTAAGCTTCAGAAGACATCAATGGAGCTCCAAGCACCTAGAGAGAGGAGTACAAGTGTGGAGAGAAAGATCCCCCAGTAAGGGAATCCTTTTATTTATAGGAAAAGGGCGGAGGAGGTGCAAAGCTACTCTAATGGGTCGAAACAGCCAAACGGGTCGAAACGGATTGCATGGGCCATAATGAACCAATGGATTAAAATGGGCCGTACTATTGGGCTTCTGTAATAATAGCAAGTCAGCATAATATATCCAAACAAAGATAAAGATATATAAATGTTAGATAAAAGAACTCAAGAAAGATAAAAGATAAAATAGCACAATAAATATACCCCTTCCGTCCCAAAAAGGTTCACCAAATTGACTTTTCTTAGTCAATGACAATCAACTTTAACTAATGATATTTTTTAATACGAAATTAATTTGAATATGAAAAATATATCAAAATGTTCCTTATTCAAAATATTTTCATAAAACTGTAAAATTTACAAATTATATACAAATATAATAATTAAAATCATTGACCAAAGTTTGTCATCATTGAGCAAGAAAAGTCAATATGATGAACCTTTTCGGGACGGGGATAGTAAGAAAGATAAAGAAGATAAAAAGATAAAAGCGAGGGGGGGAGAACAAGAAAAAAATCAACTTTCCACACGAATATTCTCTCTCCACTTACTCTCTTCACTTACTTAGGGATGGACCGGGCCCGGGTCGAGCTAGGGCGGACTCTGGGTCCTGAATATTCAGGCTCGATACCGGTCCGGGTTTGTACCTGGACCAAGCTGGGCCAGGTCGGGTCAGGGCTCAATTTGTCTTTAGTTTTTTTTAGTCTTTTCGAATTAATTCCATCCTACCCCCACCTCCCAAACCCCCCAAACCACCCAGCCCCACCCACCTAAAGGCAAGTCCAATGAGAAAAATTAAAAAAAAAAGTAATTGGGCTCGGATCAGACCGGGCCGGTTCATCATTTAGCAAGCCTTTAGCCGCCACATTAATGCCCCGATTCAGGCCCCGGTCCCGGTCCTGGTCCTGACCGATCGAGTCAGGCCGGTCCAGAACAGTAACGTTCCAGGTCCCGGATCGGACCGAACCGACCCAATCCACCCCTACACTTACTCTCTCCAAAGTCATAAAATCTCTGTCACAATATTCAAAGGATAAATAGTTGATAATATCGCAATCAAGTACCAAAAGTTGACACAATAGTTGGACTCAATTTACAAAGTAACCAAAAGCACAACAAAATAAACTACGTAGTACATCGGATTTACATTTACAAGGAACTTTTACTTTTGTAATTTTTAGAAGAAAAAAAACTGAAATATGATTAAAAACATTTTGAAATTTCAAAACATTTAAACTATATATATTTTTATTTTATAAATAGGAGTAATTACTATTAAATTTGAAACTTATCATATTTATGGCCTGATAATTAGGGTGGGATCGGTCAAGTCTAAGTCGGGTTTTTACTAAACTCGGAAATTCCGTAAGATATCACTTGTGAAAATTAGGAATTAAAACAAGACCCGTTTCACTCGGATCGACTTGGATTTTTGATAGCTCAGGTAGGACCGGTTAAAGCCCAAACAAAAAATCACAACTTTGTCCGATTACTACGTATATTTTAAAACTTCTTTTCAAATAAAATTACTCAAAAATACAAATTACAAATACTAACACAAAGAGTAATCTTCAAAATCGCCAACAACTCAAACGCAAACAAAACAAGTTATCTTAATGTTGCATTTAAGATACATATAAAAAATAATAGAATTGTTTTCAAAAGTATTACATAGTACTCCGTACTAAATAAAATTTAAGGATAAAAATGTGACTAAAACTACTAATAATATATTTTCATGGGGATTACCGTATACTGAACATGATTGTAATCATTAAAATCTACTCCGTCATTTTTCTCTCAACATGCTAATCCTAGTCATATATTTGGAATTATTCTAAATAAAATTGGTATATTATATTGTTTTTACAAGAAAGGTGATTGTTTCGGGTTTTGACCGACTCAGATCGGATTATAGTTTTTAGGGACACTAGTGAACCCGACATTTTTTGTTCAGTCCGAGTATTTTTATTCAGTTCATTCAAAAATGAGGAAATCTGGGTTGGTCACATTTTTTGCGACAAGCTAGAGTCGATTTCCGGACTTCGATTTCTTTTTTCCCATCCCTACTGTAATGCAAAAACTTTAACAATAGTTATTCCTATTTATAAATAAAAATATAACAGTTCTGTTTTGGAATTATTTTCCCTCATTTAGAGCACTATTTTTATTTTTTATTGTCTAAGTTATAGGTATGCATACTTTTACCTACAACAATTTCAGAAGTAAATTAATTCTCTACGGTTCAGCACCTCATGTATTGTTTGGTTTCGAAGCTGATTGAGTTTCAGCAAGGTGCTGCAATTGGATTTTCCAATCATTTGTAGACCATAGCTGGACAGAGCAACAAAGAACAAGAGGATGACAACCATCGTGGAAGAGTTGTGCAGACACGCGAATTTGTTGAACGAAAAAGGGATTGTCTTCGAGGAATAAACGACAAAAGAGATGAAAATACCAAATTATTATCAGTATTCATCTTGATTTCGTGTGAACCAAAATTATAAAAAAAAAACATGGTTCTTGCTCGATTTCTGCATTTCTTTGTTATTGTATGAGTGTAGTTATTTATTTTGGTTCCAAAAAACGGAAGGCTGCCTGTTTCAGAACTGGGCAAGAACCAGACCCCGTTTGGTAACACTAAAATTGGCTGAATTGGCTTATTCTCCTGAAATTTATGAAGTTCTGGCTGAAGTGGCTGTATTGGCTGATTCTGCTGATTCATGAAAAAGTTATATTTAAAATATCTGTTATTAATAAATTAAATAAAAAATTATATGAAAAAAAAGCTAAAATGATCCTCTACTATAACTTCAACCAAAACAGCCAGAAAAGTAACTCCAACCTTACTTTTTCTGCTTATTACAAACTTCAGCGTGCGAAATCAAAAATTACGTATTTGGTGAAAAAGCTGGCTGATAAGCCTGATAAGCCGTAAAAAGAGGTCACCAAACGGGCTCCCAATGCCATACTATTCAAGTTTCAGTTCTCCAGTTTTCAGAATCATGAAACGCCAATTTGGTTTCAATTCTGAAAACCAAATTGTTTTTAATAAAATTGTATGTTTCTCTTAATTGTCAAATGTAGTTCCTATTTCATTTCAAATAAATGCACTTGAAGTTTGTTTTTAATACTTGTATAAAACTATAAAGTATAAATTATAAAAAGAATGGTTATAACCGGCCCGGCCCGGCCCGGCAGGTAGCCCAACCCGTGACCTGGGCGGGTGGCCCGGCCCGAACCGGACCCGTCCAAACCTCTGGCCGGTCCCGGGTCCATGAGTTACAAACCGGCAGCCCGACCGGGCCTAGGCCCGGGCCCGACCCGGCCCGAGTCCATGTCTAGTTTCACCGTTTCAGTTTGGTACTGAAGCAACTGAACCACAAGGGGGGGGGGTCCAATTTTGACTAGGGATGAAATATGACAAGATCAAATATTGAAATTCACCATGGAATTGACAAGAATCAGAGAATCGGTTAGATCCCAAAATACGCCCAAAGAAGTGGGGACTTTAGGACTCTAATGTTTTGTCAAGGACAAGAAATGTCTTCCAATCACACATATCAGGCAGGAATCAAAAGCATTATTAGAACAGATTGGGAAGCATACTAAAGACCACAGTTCAAAAGAAGGCAGTCTTTACATATTCATTTGAAAGAGAAAATAAAAACCATTCCTACATGATGAGAGCCTGTCAATTCGTGCTGCACAAACTACCCCCACCCACCATGACCACATTATTCTCCTACACATCTTCTGTTGTCAACTTGTCTATATTAACATAACAACAAGAAACTGTTCATATATTCTCAGATACTAACAACTACCACACTAGAAGCTTACTTACTGCTACCATACTGTCGGCACATGAGGTCTGGTGCCCAACAAAACTACACCCGTTCCCATGAAGCCATACAAACACACTAAAACCCTCCTCCGGCATCGGTGTGGGCTTTTCAGCGTTGATCATCGGATTATGGTTGCTATGCAGATATTCCGAGAAATCCAGTCTGGCTTGAGGAGTCTAGTCCACTTTGTGTAGTTGATGGAAGACCATCTCTTTGCCTCCTAAAATATTAAGAAGGATTTTCCAAGCATTAAAATGTCAGATGGTTCTAAATACTCCGTGATTAATATTTGCACAATATTATACCATGTATATAGAGGTTACATACTTCCATTAATCTACTACTGCACTTCCAATTTTTTTAATAAATTTCACACCTCACTGCTCAAAACTTTTAACACAGAAGTGGGTCCCTCCAACTGGCTCCAACCTACAGCCTCTGGATAGTCTTTTTTGTCATGATTATGTTTTTTATCACTTAAAAGTCATGATTTCAACTTTTTAAGGAAGCTAGATTTTCAACTGAAAACAAGTAATTGTTGATTCCAGCTTGCCAGGATGTGGTCGCATTACCCATCATGTTAAATGTTGATAAGAGCTACAAGTCAAGCATCACTAGAGCATAACAGTAATACTTCACCAACAAAAGACCGTAAGGGTCTGTTTGGATTAAAGTTTTTGAAAGGGAACGGTTTGGAGGGTTCATTGTTTACCTCGATGAGTAAAATGTTTATAAAAATGAATAAAAGGTCATCGAAATGTTATACGACACAGATCATGTGATTTTTTCGGCTTTTATAAAATCTCGTGTCTGTGTGTATCAAGACATAGATTTAGTCCACCCTTACAATCCAATCCAAAAATCATCTACTATAACAGGCCCTAAAGAAATGTCAAAAGTTGACATTTCTTTACAAAAATATACTCCATATATGATAAAAATGAAGGAATGAAATGTGACTGACACTGATACTTACCTCTCAGAGCTGCTGCTTGGATTCACCAGAACTGTCAATCTTTGTGCTTTCTTTTTGAAGTCACTGCAATTCAATCATACCATTTGTTAATATATTCAGCATTCCAAATTATTGACAAAAGGTACTCATAAGAACACTAAAAATCAAACCTGAAGAGGTCACCTCCAATTTGTTTGACAGCACCCATGGAGTCGCAGTAGATGACACGGTTCCGCATTACAGACGATGATATCCCATATATGTCTGCAAGTTTTTTGTATACCTCTTCATATGATTCCAAGGGGGAGAGGTCAATGTATTTTGCTACAGTCTCTGCTCCCAAGAAAACTTTGCAGTGATCACCAGAGTCATTCCTACATTCTTCTGCGCGAACGGTTTGGTTTCCAAAATGTGTGGCACCAGCACCTAAAACCTTCTCTTGTAAGCCTTTACTGTTATCACTATTTCTAGTACTATCATTAGGAAATCTATCTCGACTTGCAGGATTTTTTTCTTTTGGAGATTTTGTTGAACGGTGAGACAATTGCTGCTCAGTGAGTATTGGCTGACCAAAGAGCAAAAACTGAGGAGTCATCACATTCTGGGGGCTGGATGTCCACGGGGTAACTGAGCAGCATACATTTTCACTGTTGTCCTGTAAGTCTCTAGTAATGCGGGTATGGTTTGGGTCAGTTGTGGGGAGTGAGAGTCCTAAATTCAATTTGTTGCTGAGGTGGATATCCATCAAGGGATGACCCAATTGCATATGCCTGGCTTCCTGTATGCCCGCAGACAAGTTGTCAGAAGAACAACAAAATGTGCTGCTGGCTTCAAGGGTGTTTCTGGAAAACGACGGTAGTTGAACTTGGCTTTCCAAGGAGATGTTTTGTGGTAAACACAATTTTTTTCTTGGTGGTGAGAAATGTGAGAGGGGGACCATGGGCATGGTCGCCACCAATTCAACCATCCATGGGCTCACATGCTTGACATTTTGTAGCAAATCCGGTTCATCCCACGTCACCTGCAGTATAAATATCATTAGAAAAAAGAGACAGAAAAACCTAGGTGCAAATAATGACTTAGCAAGCACAGTTAATAGACCTTTAGGACTGCAGGAGGTATTGGAAATATGAACCTACCAATCTTAAGCTGTTATTATATTGTGTTGATTATGAGCTATTCAATCCCATTCTTAAGCAATCTTTGCATACTAATGCTGTTTCCCAGCAATTAATGTTTAATGCTGTTTCCATTAGCAACTTAGTAAAGCACTTTTATAACCTCCCAACTCGATACCTTAACAAATGGACTGAGTGAGAAGAAAGCATAGTCCAAGAAGAGTTGCACAAAAATGAACTTTTCAAAGCAATGTTACTTTTCGAACTCTTTTGTAAATAAGACTTCGATGTTGTTATTGTTTAGATAAAGCAAATACCCGCTCCTCATATTCATATAGTTATTCCTCTTTCCTTTTCAGATTTCAAATGCCCTTACATCTTCATATTTCTTCCATTTCTCTTACTGTTTCACTTTCTGTACAATATACAATACGCCTATAATTTCTCTTTAAAATGTGTTAAAACGGAACGGAACAACTATTCAAATAGGGGCAGAGTCTATAATTTCAAGCATGCAGCAAACAGATGACTTTTCAATTTGATAAAATCAGTCGTTAATACAAAAAGGTTCAAATGGACTGAACACTATACTGTAACAAATAAATACAAAACGTTAAATTCATAAGGATTGCATTATTACCTGAAGAAGCCTCCACGGAGAATTCGGCCATTGAATAGGATCAATAACTCGAACAGAGGATATTGTTCCCAAGAACCAACTGATTCGTGAAGAATCTTCAGTTTCAAAGGCCATTTTGAACCTCATCTGTGGAGTCCATTGAATCTTCATAGCAGAAGACACGGATGAAGCCTTAACACAAAACTCGGGCGTGCTTGCACGTGGGTGATAGGCAACTTCGAATGGATTCCCACAAGCAGCAAGATAAGCAGCTTCAAGAACTGATTGGGGGTTCACTCTTCCTCTTTCTCTAAAACCCCCACCTGAAGAACCGCTTGGATTTCCATCACCATTTCTGTTCATTTTGTTTTCATCTTCCTTCAAAAAAGATGAAAGAGCGGCATACTTTCCAGCAAGAGAGCTCCAACTGGATGAGCTGTCCAAGCAAGCAATACTAGCCTTTTTCACCCTTCGAATTCCCACAAAAATCTCCCCACTGGTTGATCTCAGAAACACAATTGAATCCCCTGCAACCAACTTTTTATGGTTCACAAAGTTACTCCAACCTGTTGTCAGCAAATGCCTCCTTGGTGTACCCCTATAGATGTGCCTGAACTTCCAAGTAACACCATGAACATCTTTGATAGTCAAAGTCTGGACTGGTGGGTCTGCCGCGTAATCCAACGGTGGAAAGATGGTCTCTGCACAGTACCTGGGAACTGAGAAGCCACCGCCATTGTTAGCATCAGACTGAGTCAGTGTCTTGGCAAAAGAGTTAGATTTTTCAGCCGCTTCAATTCCATTGTTCCTTGGAACCTCATCATCCTCATCCTCCTCATAGCCGGCAGTATTTGGAATTGGAACCAGCGTAATCCTAGCATAGACCTCATCAGTCTCCTGGTCGGCCAAATACTTCACGGCACACACCCTGCAGAGAATCAGAGGTGGAATATTTGGCAAAGGGGAGAAGTCAACAGTAGTGAGCGTATGCTCAGCATGCCCTTGTGGGAAGTAGAAGACCTTCGAGTTCACCCTAAGCATCTGAACCATCCCTCCCGCACAGGCATGCCACAACTGGGAGTCCAGACACTTTTCCCCCGACTCCATCTTTCTCCGCCCTCTCTCCGATTATTACTCTGTTGAAGATGCGTGAGGCGCTTCGATCTCTGTTTCTCCCTCCGATTCAGAACACTATCAATCACAGAAACACAATTTCCAACAACTTCAATTTAAAATACTACCAAAAACGACAGATAGAGAGAGACAGAGAAGGAAGCAAAATAAAAAAGCAAGTTAAAGAAGAGTTAAAGATTCTGAATACAAACTAAACGTAAACACCGAAATTGCAGTAAGAAAAGCTGTCCTAACTCCTAACACGTACAGACAAGCTGGAACGATACAAACAGAGAAGTTCACGTAGAATACAGATTAGTAGGCGGAACTGCGGAAGAGAAGATCAGAAGAGATCATAGAAACAAACAAACCTGAATCAAAGCGAGTGCAGCTGACCAAGGCACGACTCGGTAACTCGGTTCCGAGAAAAACGCAGCCCAACAGAATAGAACAGTCCAGGCTCACTCCGACACTCTGCCTATGCACAGACACGTCTCCTCCACGGAATCAAACCCTAAGCCAGCAAGAGAGTCCAACGACACTTGAGACTCCTCCTCACTCAGTCCGCGCAAAAACGCATTGCGGAAGATGCTACCAACACTCAGATTGAAGTGTTCACCAGGAACTCAAATCCAGCGCCGGCATTCACTCTTCCGACGGCCTACGCCTGAGGATCCCTGCACGGATATGGCATTCGCGAGAGTCAGTATTAGAAGCAAAAAAGTCGCCGGGAGGGAAGGACGAGGTACGAAATTGTGCAGAAACAAAAACGCGAGAAGTAGGCGATGAATTCCCTCAGGCATTCAACTGAAAACAACAGAATGCCATGGAAATCGCCATTAAGTCTCACACTCTTGCTCTTGTAATCAGATAAGCTCGGAATTTCGAAATAAATCGGATTTGTATTTACATTATATAGTTAACTAGGAATTATCGTTCCAGGTCGCTTTCTCGCTGTAGCATCTTCGCTGCCGTTTGGGCGTATTTATATTGCCACTCCCCCCCTCTGGAGTTTGTTAGAGAGAGACAATTCGGTTTTTTAGTATTAAAATAAAATTGAATAATAATAATTAAAATAATAATAATATAACAATGATGATGATTGGTGATGATAACTGATAAGTAATGAACCCAAAATTCGATAAATTAATTAATGAGTGTGTAATTAGTACGAAGTGTTTGTTACCAACACTATTTGCAACCGTATCTACGAGATTCCAGATTCACTTTTTCCCAAAATGACATTTAAGAATAAATGAACTTAACTACAAGTAAATACTCTGTCATTGTTATAGTGCATGTCTCACTTGTGGTGTTGTACCCTGGATTACCTTATATTACTCTCCTCTCCTTATAATTGTCCCGTTTTTTCATTTTTGGATGTTCCACTATTATTGTCTCATATCATATTTAATAATATTTGTGTGACTCTAATTCATTTTTACTTTATAATCACTATATCAATTCATTATCAAATACATAATTATTTTTTTGTTAAAAATCACACCATCTTTTTTTACACCACTCCCTTCTGTCATATTATTAGGGGGACGGAGGTAATATATGTTAGTTTTTAAGTAAGTATTATTAATTTAAAAGAAACTTAAATATAAACAAAGCGTACAAAATATATTTTCACTTAAACTTATTTCAACCATAAACCATACCAGATTTGTAGATATAGATAATTGTTAAATACATAGAGACCAGACATCTATCATATTAGCTGAATTCAGATCAGAAGATATCATACCATAAAATTTCAATCGAAGTAAAAACAAATCGGTAGAAATTTATTGGTCCGGTTTTGAGACATGTAAAATGAGAACCAAAAATTTGGATGATTTTGCTTGGGCAATAATTTGCTTAATTATCTGGATGACTCGATTTAATTTGCATAAGTTTAATCAACCGATCTTGTGTGATCAGTTTAAGTTTGATCTAGAACGGAAATAAGTTACGGAAGAGAGATCATTCTGGTTGTGATTAGTCAATTATTTGTTTGGCTTTCGATCACTTTTTGAGCGTTTTGACAAGTTATGATCGGTTTTGGCTTATTGATTTTATTAAGCGTTTTGTACATGTGTTTGTATGAATTGTAAAATCAATCACCCGAATTGATGAAAATACGATGAAATTTCGTATGATACAATTTTGTAGAAGTATACTGTACACTTTTAGGGACACAATATTTGTATATTCAGATTGGGATTATAGTTCGATTTACTCCGTGGAATCCAGGTATAGTTTATTTAAATGTGGTTCGGATTTGAGCAATTTTTAACATTACTCTATATTACTCCATATTAATTAAATAATCATATTTCAAACGGTTAAAAAGTAAAAATTTGGCTTTGTTACCCTATATTGCTCTCTCTCCGTCCCTTACAACTTTACCAAAAGTGAGCAACATGAGAATTAACTGGAATCACAAATTATTTACTTAAAAAAAGTGACAAAATTAATGAGACAATAAAAAAAGAAAAGTTGACAAAGTTTTAAAGGACTGATAAAGTATTTAATACGATAGTACTACGTACCTTCGGGGGAACTCCTGATTAGAGAGAGTCTGTCTAATGATATTCAAATTCAAATTGGCTGCATTTGCTGATTCTGCTGAAATTTATGAAGTTCTGACTGATATGGTTTGATTGACTGATTCTACTGAAATTTATGAAGTTCTGTCTGAAGTGTCTGGATTGACTGATTCTGCAGATTTAAGAAAAAATTATATTATATTTAAAATATATTTTATTAATTAAAGTAAGAAAAATTATGTGAAAAATAGCTAAAATAATCATCTACAATAACTTCAGTCAATACAATTGAAACAGTAACTTGAACTCTGGAAGCATACTTTTTCCAATTTTACACAATTCGACGCACATGATAATAATTTACGTGTTAGATGAAAAAGTTGCTGAAAACGTGATTAGCCAATAATAATGTCACCAAGAGCTCACAATCTCATATATTAACGTTGGAAGAACGTAGTATTACTTTTTTCACCCCAATTTGTTTGAAGTGTTAGAAAAGCATACGAATACTAAGATTTTTTACAAAATAAGAATTTTATTATCAAAACAAAAGTTATACCATAGTTGTTTGTTACAAAGTATGCCTTTTTAATGCAAAATCATACGTGGTATTTAATATGAGAAAAAATCTATAAGAGTAAATTTTAATGCAATGTATGCATTAAATTTTTAAATTGACAGCTATTTTGAAACCAGAAATTTTTAGAAATGATGGGGAAAAATTTTAAATAATGAAACATTACAAAATTTAAGTTAACGTAAATGATTCATTTTTTAGAAAACCAAGATGGTAAAAAAGTTAAAATATCTCCCATCTTTTCTTGAGTCACTACAGCACATAAATAGTGGCAGATGTAAAAAAATAAAAAGTGGGACATTTTGGATTTCGACAAAAGAAATAATGACGAGATTGATAGTGAAGTAACAAGAGTGTTTTATACCGGGTCTGCTTCTCTTTTCTAGGGATGAGAACAGTAATTGACTTTGGGACAGGGTGGGGTTTTTAACTCTAGGTTAAAAAAGGTAAGAATTTCATTGTCAGTATTGTAGCCTGGGTTAACATTTAATAACACCTAGAACCGGCTAGAAGTAGAAGGCTATAAATCTAAGATTCGGCATTAGGTGCTGTTTGGATGACTAGACAAACATTGCTACGTTTTCCCATTATTTTATGTTTTCTTGTTCTTTAACTAAATTAAACAAGGGAAATCCAAGTACGAAAAAACAATCAAAACTCATGCATTAGGACAGGTGGTGAATGATGCCTAAAAAGTTGATGATTTTTATACACCAAACCTATAATTATTTTAACATCCATTTTATTATACTCCATATATACTTATACTACGTATAATATATTACTCCCTCCGTCCCGAATTAATTGTCTTGTTTGCTTTTGCACAAGTTTTAAGAAAGTGGTTGAAAAAGTAAAAGTTGTGGTTGAGATTTGAGTAGAAAAAGGTGAATTGATATGAGCTACCTATTATTGCCAAAAGAAGAAACAAGACAATTATTTTGGGACGGACCGAAAAGGAAAACAAGACATTTATTTCGGGACGGAGTGAGTAATATACTCACTCAGTCCCAAATTGTAAGATACATTTATTATTCACTTGCTCAACTTAAATAACTCTTAATCATTTACTTTATATATCAAAAGTTTATGAAATTTGAATTACTTTTTGCAGGTTTTGTAGTGATTTTTATGTAGTTTCTGGATATGTAAATTTTATTTTCTAAAACTAATTTGAGTGTTTACAGGGATCAATTTGCTTTATCGTCGGTCGAACATCGTAAACCGTAAAGTATCTTACAAAATGGAACAGAGGGAGTAATAATCTACGATAATCTCGATTAAGTGCCAAATTGGTGATTTAATTTTTAACTTGCTATCCCTTTCATCCACATACTACTACCTTCATCCCTTAAAACTTTGTCAAAGTTGATCGGCACGAAGAATAATAAAGTAAAAATTGTGTGATTGAGGTTTCTTCAGAGGAGAGAGAAATAATAGAAACCACAAAATAATTGATTAAATGGGAAAGTGACAATGTTTTTTGAGACATCCCAAAAAGGAAAGATGACAAAGTTTTAAGGGACGGAGGGAGTATTACTATTGAGTGGAGTATATTTTAGGGGTGGGCGCGGTCCGGTCCGGTCCAATATTTTACCGAACCCGTACCCGGACCGTTACTATTGAAACGGTTCGGTTCGGTCTTAGACCTAAACTCGTTCGGTTCGGTTCCATTTTCAAACGGTCCAGTACCATGTCATACCAATGCCAAACAATGTCACTTTTTTCGATAAATTAAAACCTAGTCATCATCCAAAAATCCACACAATTATCAATTTTCATACTACCTCCGTCCTAAAAAACTTTGTCATTTCGAAAAATTTGAACCATGATTTTGATTAGTATAGTACTACCTCCGTCCCATAAAATAGTACCCATTTCAATTTGGATCAGAGTTTAAGAAAGTGAGAATAAAGTGGAAATGTATGGTTGTGGTTGAGTAAGAAAAGAGTAAATGAATATTAGGTACACAAAATTTTCCAAAAAGGGAAATGAGAATAATTTTTTGGGAAGGCCCAAAAAGGAAAGTGAGACTTATTTTATGGGACGGATGGAGTATTATGGAAGTTATAAATTTTATACTTTTATGAAAGTATTTTTAACAAAGAACATTTTCATATAATTTTTATATTATAAATAATTCTCAATAAAAAAATATAATTGGTCAAAGTTTTGAAAATGGAAAAGTTTTTTGGGACAGATGTAGTATTACATAGTTAATGAATTTCTTATAAACTATAATAGTACAAAACATAAATAACTAGCAATTACGAAATGAGTAATCAAAGTAATGGTAATATGATATACATGTATATATAATTATAAAATTATATAAATTAATAAAATTATAATTCGGTTCGATTCGGTCCGGTACCGGTTCTCATAAAATGAGAACCGGTCATGGCATGGTATGGAATCGGTCCGGTCCGGTTCGGGACAAAATTTTTGAGAACCGTTTGAAATCTCGTTTTTCGGTCCGGTACCATAAAGATCCGGTTCGGTACCATGCCGATTCGGTTATTTTGCCCACCCCTAGTATATTTACTTAATAATGAAATATTCGGTAACAGTTATCCGAATAATCTTATTATTAAAAAAAGTAAATCATAAATTACTCTAGATTATATACTAATTGCAAAGGAAGATCATATTTTAGTTTTAGAGCATTCATATTCATCAGACACAAATTCTTTGATGTTTGTGGTATACATTTTTTAAAATAAGATATGATCACATGATTTAGACTTTAGATTCTCGATTCAGATCTTGTTAATGTAAGGATTTATTAATTAGACTATTTGAGTCTCAAATCAAATTAGATTGATCAAGCCAAATTTGAACAAAATAAATAAACTTAAGAACAAATTATATCACAACACATTTCGTCAAGGGA